TATATATATATATATATATATATATATATATATATATATATATGGGCCGAAACTCTACAATCCCCGATTTTCTGTTTTGAATTGGTTTACCCACCTAGTCAATATTTGATGATGCTTCCCAAAGTAAGATACAATCTTTTTGACAAAGAGGAAAAAATGAACTTGCATTCACTTAATTTATGTTTTCTCTTTTACACCAAGAATATGGTTGTTATTGTCAAGTTTGGTATATATCCTTTTAGTTCACAGGAATAGTTCTTCCTATACGCCCATTTAACAAATAATTAATTATTATTGTTAGTAGTAAAAGTTAAAAAAGTATGTATGAGATTTTAAGTTTGAATTTTATTGTCATATTTATAATTCTTTTAAAAAAAGAAAATATCTATATAAAAGAATATTATCCAGTTTACACTCTTCGCGTTAAATATATTAGCCCACCCAATTCTAGTTTACATTTTATGTCAATAAGTCACAATATAATTATTTGACCGTTATATATATATTTAGCATAGCAATGTAGTCCAGTACATATCTTTGGCATGAGATAAATAAACCGTTTGATTCTTGAACAAGTCTGTATATGAAAAGCCCCTTGTGATATCCTCATGATGCCTAAAATTCTCTAATCATTTGCTTGAATGATTTGGTGCTACTTGAAATAATAATAATTAACTAAAAAACAAAGTTGTGGTACTCCCAATTTTAAGCCTAGGTATTGTATTGTTGATCTTTTGCTTGCCTTCTAAACCTCCAACAGATTTTAGGGCATATTTATGATTTGCATGTTTTGCGAGGCTTGGCAGCAAAGCATATGTGGTACCATTGTTGCCTTGTTGGAAGTGGGCCCAGAATGGAATTAAAGAAACAAATTATATTATTCTTCTAAAAAAAAAGTATAATAATTTTTCAACTTTAATTCGAGTATATATATATATATATATATTGTCAATGTATTTTTTTTACATTCTTAAATAATTAAAAACAATTATTAGTATAATTTTAAAGATAATTAAACCCCAAGCGTGTGGTTCAGCGGTAGGGGTTGATCCACGCTTAAGCAAGGTCAGGGGTTCGAATCCTGCCTTGTATATGCAGCCGCGTTAAATCTTGGGGCCAGCTATCCCACCCTTTGAGGTGCCTCCAACGTAGCGAGGAGATTAGTCACTGCTGTCGGCGGTGGATACTCCAGGGATGAACAAAAAAAAAAAAGAGATAATTATAATAAAAAATAATTTATCATATATGATAATACGTAATTGGATAAGATTGTAAAACATTTTATATTGTAGAACAATAAATTATTTAATTTTTTAATTTAAATATTCACTTGTTTCTGTCTTCTTATTTCTCTCTTATATATGTACTTATTACAAATATATTTTCTATGAAAAAAAAAAACTTCTTACATTTTATTCAAATTTATTCATAATTGTATGTAATATTTTTACACCCTAAAATTTTCATTTTTCTATATTTTTACACCTCATTCATGTGTTATAAAAAAACGTTTTTCATCTGTTAATTTTGGGATAAGCTTCCATAACCTTTTTTGTCTTGGCGTATGCTCGACCAACAAACAGATTAGTAATTATACTTTCTTTTTATCTTTGCTGCCAAGGAAAGGGAACACACAATACAAGGATGTTCCCACATGCACAGTTGAAGATAAAAAATTAATAATGTTGTCAACTTATGTAGTATTCAGATCTCAATCAGAAATTGTCTATTTTATTGTTTGTTAACAGGCACAAACATCCCTTCTTTTGTTTTGATATATTAATTCTTGTCTCTGGCATAATGGAAAAGTGAAACATTTAATTTATCGCATATTATAGATAAAGACCCCAAAACCATATACAAATAAGTTAGTTAAGATAACAATAAAAAAAATTGTTAAACAAAAAAACAGAAATTAAAAACCAAAACGGATAAAGAATTATTTATTCTATAACTAATTAATTTGAATGTGACATACAAACATAGAACAGCTGGAGTAGTAGCTAGAGCCCATCACTTTAAACCACACAATAACTAAAAGATCACTTTATACTAATTATTTGGCTACTTCAACATGTTTTAACTTATAATGCCAGCTAGTCGCTAGCTAGAAGTGAAGCCTTCACATGCACTAGATTTAATGTCATGTTGATTTCATTTATTATGTACAAGAAATTATACTGTATTTTCATTATTTCAATATTATCTAATTAAGTATCCCTATTATTAGTATAAACCCAAAATGAAGCCACTATTTGAGGTGCCTCCAACGTAGCGAGGAGATTAGTCACTGCTGTCGGCGGTGGATACTCCAGGGATGAACAAAAAAAAAAAAGAGATAATTATAATAAAAAATAATTTATCATATATGATAATACGTAATTGGATAAGATTGTAAAACATTTTATATTGTAGAACAATAAATTATTTAATTTTTTAATTTAAATATTCACTTGTTTCTGTCTTCTTATTTCTCTCTTATATATGTACTTATTACAAATATATTTTCTATGAAAAAAAAAAACTTCTTACATTTTATTCAAATTTATTCATAATTGTATGTAATATTTTTACACCCTAAAATTTTCATTTTTCTATATTTTTACACCTCATTCATGTGTTATAAAAAAACGTTTTTCATCTGTTAATTTTGGGATAAGCTTCCATAACCTTTTTTGTCTTGGCGTATGCTCGACCAACAAACAGATTAGTAATTATACTTTCTTTTTATCTTTGCTGCCAAGGAAAGGGAACACACAATACAAGGATGTTCCCACATGCACAGTTGAAGATAAAAAATTAATAATGTTGTCAACTTATGTAGTATTCAGATCTCAATCAGAAATTGTCTATTTTATTGTTTGTTAACAGGCACAAACATCCCTTCTTTTGTTTTGATATATTAATTCTTGTCTCTGGCATAATGGAAAAGTGAAACATTTAATTTATCGCATATTATAGATAAAGACCCCAAAACCATATACAAATAAGTTAGTTAAGATAACAATAAAAAAAATTGTTAAACAAAAAAACAGAAATTAAAAACCAAAACGGATAAAGAATTATTTATTCTATAACTAATTAATTTGAATGTGACATACAAACATAGAACAGCTGGAGTAGTAGCTAGAGCCCATCACTTTAAACCACACAATAACTAAAAGATCACTTTATACTAATTATTTGGCTACTTCAACATGTTTTAACTTATAATGCCAGCTAGTCGCTAGCTAGAAGTGAAGCCTTCACATGCACTAGATTTAATGTCATGTTGATTTCATTTATTATGTACAAGAAATTATACTGTATTTTCATTATTTCAATATTATCTAATTAAGTATCCCTATTATTAGTATAAACCCAAAATGAAGCCACTATTTCCACATGTCAATTGGACAGCTTGAGTTTGATGTTGAGGCGTTTTCAGGCATCATTTCTTCCTTGTCCAAGTCCCTCAACTGTTCAACATTGCTGTTGTTCTTCACATGAAAGATGTTGCCTGTGTTTGAGTAACTATTGTCTTTGGATGCATCTTCTTGACTAAGCTGTGAAGCAACATACTTGTCTAGAGCTCTCCAATCAGCCACTTGCTCATTGGAACTGTTTCCAAACACTGCCTGAAAATTTTGTTGACCAGAGTGTTGAACTTGATGCATGATCATAGCATGGTTTTCTTGATCTATACCATATGGTGTCATTGATTGAAGTAATTTTTGGTTCTCCAATGGAAGCTGGGAGAGAGGTAAATGGTATTGCAAATCTAACTCTTTCTTGCAAGGATATGGTAACTGGTAGGGCAAATTAGGTTGAGAGGTTTGCTTTGGTGAGTCCAAGTCTTGCATGAAAGAGACTTGGTCATCATACCAACAGGGAGAATCATGCTCACTCAATTTACGCATGGTTGTTAGTCTCTTTTTGAATACTCTACACACAACCCATCCTTCTTCCTGCTTTATAGCATAACATGTGAATGATAAATCTTTTTGCTAGTTTAAAGTAATTCATTGAGAAATTCACCAAAAAATATCAAAGTATAGTTATGGCTTAATAGTGACAAAAGCTAGTAGAATATAAGAATCAAACACATAGTTCCAAAAGTCCACTTATTAAGTGCATTTGGAAATATGTTTTGAAAAAAATGTTTTTCTTTAATATTTTTGTTTCCAAAAGCTAGTTTTTTTATTATTATTTTTTTTTATAATTTATTTAAAATACCATTTTTTTTTATATTTTAGAATCTTTTCTTTACTTCTTTAAAAGTTTATGTATTTACCACAAAGATTTCTAAACATGTATTCCAATTTATAATTAAAAGAAACTTGAAAGGAAAAAGTACAACTTTAGACAACAATATTTTTTGTCTTACACATGATACATGTACCAACACAATATATATAAAAGGAACTGGATAATAGGAAAATGTAATGAATTAATTATTAGATGTTATTAATTGAACAGAAACTAATCATGAGAAGGATAGGGTCTTTTTCTTAAAAAAAAATTCTTCAAAATCTTGGTTATAAATATAATATTTGAAAAACTTGCCTGTGGAGTGCCATTTTCATCTGTTTCAAGTCGATACTCGTGCATGATCCAATCTGATTTTTGTCCATTGGGGGCTCGACCTTTATAAAAGACTAGGGTTTTCCTCATCCCTATCAAGTCATGCTTTGAATAGATTGCTTTGTCTCTTCCAGTTGCTTTCCAAAACCCTGCTGCTGTTGCTCTATTTGTGCGAGTTCCAGTAGGATACTTCTTATCTTTATGGCTAAAGAAGTACCATTCATTTTGCTCTTCTGTTCCTATTCTGCAAAGCTCTTCATGCACATATATTTTTTTTTAATAAAAAAAGAAAGCCAAAAAGTTAATGATATATTGTTTTAAAAGAATTTTTTCTGGTAGATTTTAAGTCAATATCAACTAAGCTAAGTTTGCTACCTTGAAGATCCCATGGCTCAATTTTATAGAGGTCAACATCTTTTATGACATCGAGGTCAATCCTCCTTGAGGTAACTTTCTTCCTTAGGTAGTAATCAACAAGTTCTTCATCAGTGGGGTGGAACCTAAAACCGGGGGGAACATGGGAAAAATTATTCATATTTTCCCTCTCTCTTTTGAGTCCTGCGTAGATCGAGCATTTATAAGACACTATTCATTCCCTTGTATATTTTCCTGCTATCCCAAATTTAAACATTTTTTAAATAGGAAGCATATATCATCACACTATCACAAAAATAATTTTTAATGATAATCTTATATGGTAACAATGTACTTGTTATTAAATTAATTGTAAACTACATGATTTTGTGATCAATAAATATTAACCGTTAAAATTTATTATTTATTAATCATTATTTTATGTATATAATCAGTTTAATTAATTTTTTTAAAACAATTTAATAGATATTTACTTGTATTCTATATAAATACTAATAATAATATTAGTAACTCTAAATACACAATTATTATTTAATTATTGATAAAAAATAATGATCATTTATATGATTTTTAAAGCGCAAAATAATAGTTACAAAAAATTAATTTAAGCATATATATACGCTTGGCTTTCAATCAACATTTGCGGCAAGCTAATTATTCATCAATATAAATAAAAAATTAAATGGTATAAAAATGTAATTGAAACAGTACCGGGAGAAAAAAAAAAAAAAAAATAAATGGTATAAAAATGTAATTGAAACAGTACCGGGAAAAAAAAAAAAAAAAATAAATGGTATAAAAATGTAATTGAAACAGTACCGGGAAAAAAAAAAAAAAAAATAAATGGTATAAAAATGTAATTGAAACAGTACCGGGAAAAAAAAAAAAAAAACTAAAACAGCACCTGAGAAATTGTGTATCTGAAAACTAAAACAAATTGTTCTACTCTTTAAGCAAAAATTTAGATAAAAGTAAATAAATGAAACTAGATAAGAAATGCAAAAGCTTTAAGTTATCAAATGGAGAGAGAAAGTCCTCTTTGTTGCTATGATGTGAAGCTATATAAAGGATCTCTTTCAAACATTAGATATCGAATCACTTTAGCTGTATCTCGATCGACAGAGAGCGAGGGCTGTTCTCTTGGTTATGTTAAGATCAGTTTGGTCATTATGTAAAAATATATTCAAGCCTTCTAAAGAATTAATGCATATGAATATTAATAAGAATACCCTGGATTTTTTTTCTGCCTATTTCTTTGTTTCCTATTGTTTAATAATGTTTTCATTACATTATGGAATGATTCTAATTCATAATTAGAAGTTAAAAGCCAGTTGAAAACTATCTTTCAACTCGTCCTAAATTTTAACATAAAATAATTCTGTAAAAAAGATGGCATGAGCTTCACTGATTGAAGGAAAGTAGTTATAATTTTTCAAAACCTGCTAGCTTCTTAATAAGTGACCATATATATGACTGAGAAAGTTTATTTGGCCGTTTCAGAAAAAAAAAATATGACTGAGAAAGTGAATGATGAACATCGGGGTCTATTACTTAGGACATCTGAAATTTAAATACTCATATACTTCAAATCTGAGAAGCTGAAGATAAATTTCAAAGCTAATTCCCCATGAAAGGATGGGAAAAAAATATTTTGTTTGGATATAAATTTGTTGACTTTTAAATATTAGGTTTTTTAATATCCTACGCTTGTCTTCTTTTGAAGAATTGTATTTACATTATTCCTCCTTTTATATACCATTTTTATATGCATCATACAAAATGTACCGTTTCATAACCTAATATTCTTTTTGTTTGGAAGCAACAGCATTCATGTCCTATATCTAATGCTTGATTCCTACACCATTTTCCCTCAAATAACCTATAAGGGAATTAAATGTAATTTTTTTAAGCTAAAGAAACGACATGTATAATTAGTGCTAACCAACCTTGAGAAAGACCAGTATATGATTAGCGCATGAGACCTATATTATTTATTTAACCCTTTATCTCACAAAAATGAGCATATATTAGAGTATTAGTAAATTAATTATAAATAATTCAGTAATATGTATTGGTTAGAGAATTACCCTTATCAGATATATAGACCCTCTAACCTCTTCTGATGTATATGATTTATCCTTAATTTCCACATGAATAAAATTATCCAATAAGTCTTGAACCTCAAACAATAAATAGAAGAGATAAATACACCTAATTGTTTGAATATTACCTTCACGTCAAATGGAACAATTTCCACAAGTTTCTTGAATTCAATTGCAATCAAAGCTAGCCAGTTATGCAAAACATTAGTCAATCAAAAGTAGGCTGGTTATGCAAATTAAACACGACGAATACCATTACTTCTAATCAGAGAGAAAATTAACGTAGAAGAATGGAGACAGAAAATTATGAATGTTTGTTAGGTCTAAAAAATAATACCCTAATTCACATGGTGAAACAAGGGAAGAGTAGTACTTTACCCATGTCAGTATTTAATAATAAAAATATGAAAATGTTGGAATAGAATGGAATTGAATAAAACTTGTGATCCAATTTTGTTTCTTCAAATAGATATATAGATGGAGAAAAGGCATGGCTATGATTATTATGCATGTGAAATGCTTACATAGTCAACAGACATGCGTCAATAGACATGCACGATACTACACAATAAGAAAACACACAAGTGATTGTCACTCATTGTGATTCCCACTAATTCATAACCCATGCTTCCAAAGGATAAAGTTCGCGAACCTCGTTATAATTCGTAACAACATATGCTTCAGCAATAACAGATGCCAGAAGATATTAATATCATCAATTAAAAGCATATAGAAAGTGCAGATTCAAAATACAAAATGAATAAATGGAAATTAAATCTTTTCTTTAATTAAACACTTGCTCTAAAATTTTAAATCTGCAAAGTAAAAGTTTGCACCACCACCATATATCTAATTGCACCATAAACAAAAGAAGAAAGGAAAGAAGAAATTAAGAGAGAATTGAAATCAGAAAGAGAGTGTGAGAGATCTGATAGATCAAGCAACAGAAACAGAAGTATCTACCTTTTTGTCTTGGAAGCCACAGATCAAGGTGGTGCAGTCAGAAAAATGAATTGGCCTTTGACATGAGATATGATATGAAAGTTAAGTTAACTAAGCTGGTATATATATATATATATATATATATATATATATATGATATATCTCTCTCAACTTGACCGAATCAGACACAGATATTCAATGCAACAAGAAAAGAGAATGAAGAAACTCAGAAGTTACTCATAAACATAGAACAGAAGCAACGTGACACGTGGTTTTTGAAGTGGATCCCTTTGGAAAAAGGGTGAGAAAGAAAGAGGCAGAAGAAAGGTGAGGATGGAGAGTGGAAGAAGTAGTGGAAAAGGTTAAATAAGAAGGGAAAGAATTGAAAGAACAAATGAATGATATATAGCTGTTGTTCTTCTTCTTCTCTTACTCTATTAGATGGATCTCTTTGTTTTCTCGCAAAGAATAGAATTTGTGATCACTGTCAGGGTGAGCTGAATTGGTGGGGAAGCCTTGTGAGCGGAAAAATGGCAGACCAAGAAGAAAGAAAAAGGAAAGGAAATGAGTCTCTCTACTGCCACCTCTACCCACAACCGATAGAGACCTAACAAATTAACAAAGAGTGAAGAATGCAACAAAGGAAAACTCTCTCACAAGGGTCTCTTTCTATCATCTGTTTATCTATCTCCAAACTTCACTAATTGCAAATATGTGAGAGAGGCAAAGTGCAAACGGGGAAGGAAGAGGAAGTAACACCACTCACCAATCACCAATTTAAAGGGCTCCCTAAAATAAAGGTGCCAAAAAAAAAAAAAATTAAAGTATGTTCTTTGATTTCTTTTCACACCTCTATTTTTTTATATAAGACACATGGGCATGATTGTTTATGTTTTTATAAGTATTTTTAATTTTAAAATAGAATTTTGGTTATTTATTTTTATTTTAGGTTTTAGTTTAACCTTTTAAGTTTAAAAAAAGTTAATTTCATTTTGGTCATTTTAAGTGTCTTTATGATCAAATTATTATTTCGTCAATTTTTTATTTATAATAACAATGTTAATTTTGACTAACATGACTTCTTTACAATGTATTATTAAATTGATCAAATTAATGTGATAAATTTATGAAAAACAAATCAACTTGATATAAAATAAAGAGACTTTAAGAAATTAAAGTGGAACTTTTTAAACTCAAGAAATTAAATTGAAACAAAAAAAAATATAAAAGACCAAAATTTTATTTTATAGAACATTTTAAATAATAAATGAATGTTAGAATAACATGTATTACTGACAATCATTTTATTAAAAATGATAAAATTGTGTAAATTACATTTTTATCTAATACATTTTACTTAAAATTTTATAGTTTTAATAACTTTTAATTAATATTTATCTCTTCTTTTGTTGTTATCACTGACAACATTTATTTCAGTAAGTGATTTTAGCATTCTCTTATTAATATTCAACTTTCACTTTGATAACCCATACCAATTGTTAAACATAATTTTTATGTAGAAGCGATTGAAATAAAACTCTAATTTTGTAACAATAAAAACTCTAATTTTAATTATAGCTAGAATAGTACCAAATCACTTAAGACATTACATTTATTTTAGTTCTTTTTCAACTTACCTTATTGTCTATATATTTCTTTAATTTCTATATTTTCCCCTCCTTTTCTCATTATTACTCATCTTCTTTTCATTCTTTCTTATCTCTAGTTATCTCCAACGGTGTATATTCTGTCTATGAGAAAAAAAACATTTTAATTTGCTTGTTACAGGTGTTGACGTAATGGAACAGCTTCCACACCCTCATGAAAAATAAAAGAAAAAGTTAATTAACTCTCACACAAATGAGGCATGGTGGCCCCTCCTAGGCCCCCACTCCGTTCCTAGACCCTACCATTTTCACAATCTTCTTGAATTGATCTGAACTGTATTGACATTGTTATGATGATATTGGGAATGAGTAGCTCTGGATCTCGTGGATGTTCTGTTGGTACAATTGGTCCTGATGATCATACACCAAGTCTGAAAAGCTAGCTAATGGCTTCTGCTGTCTCTTTCTGATTAATTCTGTACAAGTGATGGTTGTTCGGCATATAATTAGGTTAATGATATAACATTTGCACACCATATAATTTCAGACACCTAATTCCAAGGTGGTTCCTACGCAGAATTAGAATGGTGGTACCACTAATATAATGATTATCATTGTAAAAGTGAAAATCTTAAAGCCGTAATTATCTTTATTTGTAGTGAGACAAAAGTAACATAAAAGAATGTTAAAACTATATCAACCTCACTCAGCCGTACGTAATATATATATATATATGAGAAAAGATCCATTTATTATAAGAATAAGTTTACTTAGATCTATTCTATTCAATAATTCATGTTCTGCAATAAATTTTAACGGTCTAACTGTTGAATTTAAAATTCTTAATACATAGATTAAATTTGTAAATTTTTAAAAAGTTTGAAAATCATTCGTTTCATTAATTCAAATTGAATAATAATTATAAAATCATTTTATACGTTTATTTAAATTAATGAAATGAAGTATCAAATGACTTTCAATTTTTTAAAAAAATTTATGGACTTGATCTATGCATTAATAATTTAAAATTCAACGATTGGATCATTAAAATTTGATGTAAAACATGAGTTATTGAACGAAGTAAGTTTAGATAAACTTATTCTCGAAGTAAACGAATCTTTGTCTCTCTCTCCAAAGAACATCATTTTTCCACTAGTTTTGATATCACACTAAATCAGAGCACAACCCATAAATTAAATCGAAGCCTCAAGTTTCATTTGTCGTAAGCTAAATCTCATCTTCCTTATCAACTCCTGTATAGCCTTCATCCCAACCAAGAAAACAAAAAAAACATCATAAGAGGAATGAGATTATATCTCACGCATCTATATACATATATAAATGGAAAAGATAGGAATCTAAGAAACAACACAATATCATTAACACCAACTGAATGTCCATAAGTCATTCTTATTCAACACACCAACATCAATCATCCATTAACACTCTTTGAGAACTCATGTAGATTTATACTCTTGATTCTATATGCAGGTGGTACCATTCTTCAATATTGCCAAAGGTGCTCCGAATATGAGGTAGCCTAAGAGTACATGAACCAGATCACCACATATTAGATGACCCTCTCAATCCATTCTCAATTAAGAGAAGTTCTATCAGGAGCCAATTGGAATATTACAGTTGGTGGTGGTCGCCTTCCATTCAAAGTTAGAGGCTTCCTAACATAACACTTCCATATTTAAGGTAAAAGAGCATAAAGACCCTCCTATATAGATGATAAGTGTCAATTTTATTTAAAGAATATATCTTTCTTGATACTATTATTTGACTACGTTTAAATGGAAAATTTAATTTTAATCCCAAAAATATTGTGAAAATCAAAAGGTTGTGTAAATTGGTTAGTTGTGAAGAATTGATGATTTTTGGACTAATGAAACTCATTTTCTTGCACATTTGATTATGTCCCAAAGGTCTTCAAATTTATTGAAAGTGCTGAATCACAACAAATTTTGCTCAGTGAAATCAAAGAAAAATAAAGGAGAGTCATTGTCAAGATTTGGCTAAACCAAATAAAAAATAGTTGATCAAATTTGATCTAGAAAACAAAGAAATTTTGAATCAGAAAAGCACTAGTCAAATTAGAAATGGTTGAGTGAATTTTGTCCAGAGAGCAAAGATTTTTGTAAGCAGAAAGGGTTGAGCGAGATCAAGAAGGGCTCAACGAAATAAATTTCTTCAACCTGAAGAATTTGAATTTTGCTCAACCAAATCAGAAATGCCTAAGTGGATTGGCTCACTTAAGTTATACTTTGTTTTTGAATTGGTCGATATAAAATGGGAAATTTAATGAAACAAAAAACAGCTGGAGAGAAAATGAAGAACAGAGAGAAGGAAATCATTTAAGATTTCTATGGATGAAAGATCTTAGATTCATCTTTCTTTTCTTATGCTTTCATTGTAATGGATATTGCTCTCATCATCATGAGTAGCTAATCTTTCTCTTTGTTGAGATCTAATGTAAATCTATTGAACTCTTTTATAATCCTTTTAATTTAGAATTATTTCTTATTATTCGGTGTAAGTTAATATTAATGCTTGAGATAAATTGATCACCCATCTTATGATTTGTAATTTAGATTGTGATTGAAAAATACTATCTAAATTGGATTTGAATCAAACTACCTAATAATTCTAAATACTAGGACAAACTTGTTAGTTGATTAAATTCATGAACTTAACGCTTAAGGTTTAATTTGGTAATTAAGGAGTTAATTATCAAATCCTAAAAATTTCCAAAGCTAAGGGATTGACTTAGAATGATTTTAAGAATTAAATAACACTGAGTTATAGAAAGCATGTATAAGGAATCTTAAGAGTGTAGAAGAATACAATAAATGAAATTCAATTCCAATAGTCGTTCTCATTATCTTCTTCTAAAACTTTATATGTCTTTTTTAAATTGGTTTACTTGTTAGTTTAATACTCCCATTTCAAAACAACATATTTATAAACAACAGTAAATTATTATTTCAAAGGTTTTAATTAAGATAGTAGAAATTATAATACATCTAACAAGCCCCTGAAGATACGACAACCCATACTTCAAATATATTACATCAGACTTAGTATTCTTGCCAAAATATCAACAATAGATTCACAATCACCTCCAAACAACCTATGCATGAATGCATGGACTCTCATACAACTTCATCAAACATAATAAAAAAATCACCCTTCCTCGTGTTGCCTAAATTTCCTCATATCATCACCAAAATCACCCTAAATGTGCCTTAATGTCTCAATAAAAAAATCTTTTACCTCATCAACATCTCATGATTCTTGTTTATATCTCTTTAATCTTATTATTTTTTAATCATCCTCTTCATTTACTCAATTATGGTTCTTTCATTTTCCCTTTTTCTTTTATTGTTTTCTTTCATTACTAATCCTTATATCCCACATTTACCTCATACATCTCAAATCAACACCATCTTAAAGTTTTTCATTTCCTCACTAGCTATTACTCTCCTGCAAGCAAAGGTTTCAACTATAAGATATCTTACGCAAGACTGTAGTTTCCTCACTGAACTCAACATGGGTGTGGCTCCCCAAAGCACAACCAAGGTGTCTCTTGCAAAGGCTTACACAAGTGTGCTTCCTTAAAGCATGATTGTGCTTATTTGTCCAAAGCCACGAAATTGCATTGGAATTGAATAATTTGCATGCAGTTTTCATCTTTTTCTTCTTTGCTTTTACGTAACTAAACCAATTTCTCAATGCTTCAAGATAATTACTTCAAAAAAATTATCTTATTATATAAATTTGGAGTAGTTTTACTCAAAAAAAAAATCATGAAAATAAGGAATAATTAAGGATATTATTTTTGGTCGTTATTATATAAAGTTGTTACTAGTTGGGGGGGAAAAGGATAGAGTAGTTAGAAACATGAAGACTTAGATTCAAATCTTATTACACTACAAGAAAATGCTGAATAAGCGGCGGAAAATAAGCGTCGGCTAATAGCTGACGCAAATAGTGTCGGAAAAACCGACGCTATTTTAAGATTTAGCGTCGGCTTTTCCGACGCTAAACTTAAAATAAATTTAAATTAAATATTTT